GATGGTTAATGTATCCTCTTTGTGTGAAAGACAATAGACCATCCTTTAATGTATTTAATTCGCTTTGAAAGTTACTAATGTTTTCCATTTGTACTTTTTTCCACTGTTGTTGACTTTCCTGTAGTTGCTGCTGACTTTCCTGCAACTGTTGGAGACTTTCTCCCTGTTTCCTTGTTTATTTTCTTTCTCCTCCAACCACTGCTGTAGCCTCTCTTCTTGTTTATTTTGCTGTTCGAGCTGCCACTGTTGCAGGTTTTCTTGCCACTGCTGTAATCTCTCTTGTTGTTTATTTTGCTGTTCGAGCTGCCACTGTTGCAGGTTTTCTTGCCACTGCTGTAATCTCTCTTCTTGTTTACTTTGCTGTTTGAGCTGCCACTGTTGCAGGTTTTCTTGCCACTGCTGTAACTTCTCTTCTTGTTTCTTTTCTTTTTCCTCCAACAACTGCTGTAATATCTTTTCTTGTTTATCTTCTTGTTCTCCTTGCTTATTTTGCTGTTCTTGTATTGCTGCCATCAAATCTGCTAAGCTGTAGTTTGATTTGCCACCTCTCGTTTCCATCTTCTTTTTTTTTATCCCGCTTCTGACACCAATTTGTTACGTCTCTGTTCGTTTGTTAATTTTCCGTAAAAATTCTTTCAGAAGAAACTTTAGCGATACAAGTCTTTTCTTAAATAAAACTAGTTTATTCTTTCTCAATACAGCTTTGCGATACACTTAATTTCAACAGTGGCGCTATAACAAACGTCTCACGTTCTCGACTTCAACAATACTCAATTCAATTACACACTCTCTGACTGCAGTTCAATTACTCACTACCTCCCCGTTGCTTCGTGGCCGGTCTTATATATACAAGACTTCACTATATCTAGAAAGATCACGAGATTTAAGGAAAAGACGTGAAAGTTCAAGAATGACGTGGCGTGATACTAGTCACGTGACCTCGATGTCGTAACACTATATTTCACTAGGTTGATTTGAAATCTTCAGGTGATTGACTTAAGATAATTATGTCAGTCATCTGAAGATGTCAGTCAACCTGATAAAACAATTATAAGAACCACTTGAAGATATCAGGTCAACCTAATGAAACGTAGTGTATTTACATATTTCTTACTTGCAATAAACTCGAAGGTCATGCCATTAAGTTGTTAATTTAACATTTTCTCGAATTACCTCACTATTTACAACATTATAGATATAGAGAGACAATTTTCGATTAAGAATAAAGAGTTTGGCACACAGTGATACTGATGAGTTCTTTTGAAATAATATATCTTTTATTTCTATGTGGAAAAAGTTATTCACATTTTTCTTTATTCATATTATATTTACCTTTTCATACACGAATACTTGAATTATTTAATATATAAGCATATATTTACCAAAGTGCTCTCTAGCGGTAACCTTTATAGCGAAACATAAATTCAGAAATTTAAGATTTGTTGTGGTGTGTGTAATTTGTATTGTTAGTACTGCAAACTACCGAGGAATATAATCTAATACGATATCGGTATTGGTGTTTAATGAGTAAGTATTCCATTTTGAATGTATTTGATCATGTTAAGTTCCACTTTTCCAATACTGACAATACACCGGCGCTAGTTTTAAAATCCTACTTTTATTGGCACTGAATAAAAAAAGCGAAATGCATGTTGTTACAATTTTATTTACTACAAGTGTAACTTATAAGTATGATTTTCAGTATAAAACTAAATGTATAATTTACTTTATAATGTATTTAGTATTTATTTCTGTAAACTGTAATTAGTATAAATAGTGATAATATGAAGCATAATTTAACTTTAGATTTAAATTGTATTTTAGACGTAGTATATTATAAGTATCTGTTATTGACACTGACTGGAAAAGTAAAACATTACTTTTTAGAAAGTGTATCCAAAATAAGACGGAACTTTTTCGAAAGATACTTTTCAGTTGTTAATGAGAAACAATCTTTTCTATATTAATTCAGCATGTATATATAAATTTACATGTTTTTATTCATTTCACCAATTTCACACTACTTTTTAAAATTAATTTTCAATTTGAATAAAAGCTGCCAGGTTTGTCAGCAACTTTACTTAAAATCTCTAGATACCTACACTGTAGCTAAATATTAAAAAACGTTGCTGCCATAGCGGCTTCTTGGATATTGGACATGGCAATTCTCACTCAGGTTATCAAATAGACCAACATGGTCTTGCCGATAACTCCTGAGCCCTGACAAAGAATGATTGGGGTCAACTTGTTGCCACCTGCTGGTAATACCGGCAGCAGGTTATCAAAGAGACTGATGCAGTCTTGCAGACATGCCATGAGACAGCATGTTTGGGGTCAACCAGAATTTACTATTATGGATTATATATAGTTGCAAGTCTGCAGCATGGCTTAAACTAACCTTACAAATATTAAACTCATCAAATCTAGCTGTGGGAGCTTGCCTATTCTCTTGACTTTAATGGCAAAACTTTGAAGGTTAATCCATCATCTTTGATTTTGACTTTGCCCCCCCCTGCAAAAATATATGCGAACACCCATGATTATATCATCATACATGCTAAAATATTAATGATAATATTACATTACATTTAAATATTTTCAAGGTTCCAATATCTTTTATTGGATATAACCATAAGAACTACTGCTTCTATCATTTTATACTATAATTTTCACACAATTATTTAAAACTATTAGAACTTACAAGGTTTGTCAAACATCTCATTTTGACTTTTCTTTTTTAATATTCACATATAATCTGTATCAACAAGCTTATATGTTATCCTTTGATTAGAATGTGAAAATGGGAATAATGGCTACTAATAAGTAGTATAAAAATGTAAGTGCAAGTATTAATTTAGAAAATGGAAAACTTAAAAAACCACAACAGAGAAACAAGTGTAGGACAGAATGCTAATTGGATCATTGAAGGCAACCTTCTAGGATAAACGAATGTGTTTAGGGTTAGAGGACATGTACATATTATAATTATAAGAACAACAAAGGATCTGTTAGTTCGTTTAGACTGACCTATCCACAAACTTCAAAACAACCACTTGCCTCACTATCCATGCTCAAGTATTTGAGTGAATATTTATTTTCTTGTAATAACCAATTTCCTATTGATGTAGCATTGATTTTGTAGATATAACAATCGGTAAATTACAAAGTTTGCATTTATAATATAAATTAGGACTGTTTAACTGGAGGGCTGCATCAGGCTTGCAAGCATTGTATGGATCCTTTAGGTAGAACTTAAATTTATAAATTAAAAGGTATCACTTATTTCTTGTTTTAAAGTGGCCAAGTATTATTCTTATATTACTTGTATATCTTCCTATCTGTCAAAATGTGATATCTTGGGAATGGTGGACAGACATTATATGTTCTGATATTCAACTAGGATTATAGAATTTTGGATTCTAGATTGTTAATTAGCAATCCAGCCCTCACTAGTTTGAAGTTGGACAGATCTGACATAAATCATCTACTTGCCCAACTATAAATTCATGTACGAAGAATGAGTAAGAAACTCGGAGGAAAACATCATGATTACCAGACTGGTAACTGTTTTTGAGGTAAAAACCTGTGTCTTTAGTAAGGTTTAAAAAAATATTTATTCATTTGGGTTATTACTTCTATTACATTACACAAATAATTTAAGATTTCAGTTTCTCACATGAGAGATATTATCAAAGGTGTTAGCCTAAATATGTTTGCAAAATCTGCCTTTTATTCAAAGTTTCTACAAAGCCATATATACAAGTACTTTGTTTACAAGCTGAGTTTAATATATGAAAAACATGAAATCAAAACATGATAGATACTATTAGTGAAACTAGGTTATCAGTAACAGTGCTGGAAAATTTTACACATATGATAGTATACTTTTGATTTACAACTGAGTAGGAGCTATGGCTTAAGTAAGTAACCAAATAATTACATTTTTGACTTCAGTTAAAGAAATTGTGCTCTCAGAAACTGAGATCGTATTAACCATCAACTACCTGAAAATAAGTTTGTTTCAAGTAAGAACATTTCACCATAAATATGATTTATTTGAGTGACTAATTGGAAATTATATATTTTTTCTAACTCCCAAGACATCATGGAGTGGATCTTGGTGATAATAGCTTCTATTCACCTGGTGGTATGTCCATTTACTAAAGTAGAAGAAAGTTTCAACCTACAAGCAATGCATGATCTCCTCTACCATAGGTTTAACATATCTCAAGTACGTATAGGCTGTTATTTGTGGTTTAAGTTTTTCTTATGGCAGTTTTGCTAGATTTATCTATAATTGTACAGTTGTTAAAATACAGCTATGCTAATTTCATTGTTTCTTTTACTGCTATCTTGATACAATTTTCTTTCTTGAAAATAGCTTTGCACACAAGTGTGTGTATGTATACATAAATACATACACAAATATGTGCAAAGCAATGTAAAATCTAAATTTAAAATAATTTTCAGCAACTAAATTTTTAATTTAGTTTGTTTTTATCTCTTTCACTGCCACAGGCACATATACAGGATACACTATGTAACAAATGTGTTAGTAAGAAAATGTTCTGAAAAATGGGTATCAGTAGGATTAGTAATTTAATAATTAATTGAAAAAACATAACATTGCATATTAATTTGCAAATGTTGGAAATATATGCACAAATAATTATTTTACATAATTCGTTTTACAATTTGAGAACCTAATAGTCTATGAAATATTTCTAGCAATTATCTCTAAAAGAAATTTAATTTCAGAAATACTACTCACCTATCAATGGAACAAATGGCTAATATCTCATGCCACTGTCAAAAATTTTTTTGAGCATGTGCCAAGCCTCTGAAAAAAGCTTCAACTCCTACTTGTGATAATGTTTGCTGCTACAGTCTGTGATCCAATAAGCTTTAGACAATACCTTCTATCAGTAGGAGGGTGACACTACTTCTTCATGCACAGTGCTTTTTTTTAGTTCTGTGTGTGTATCAAAAGCTCATTATTTTCCTTGGCACTGCAGTGTTCAGTCATGTTCTTTTTTTTTATTACTAAGAATTATGGACTTTTGTGCTAATTATTTTCAACTTTTTGTTAACATTTACCAGTTTCTTGATTCCGAGGATGAAAGATATAAATTTTAAAATTAATATTAGTCAGAGATTCTGATATAAGTTATTATATTTTCATATATACTTTAATTTCATTTCTTAATCATACTATGAGACTTTGGAACACATGTCCCAGAGTTTATGATATGGTTTGTTTGACAGAAATATTCCCCATTGTCATTCATTCAGTAATAGGGTATCAGGAGAACCTGGTAATTAGTCTCTCTATTGTCAATACAAAAATGAAAATGGTATAAGTACTATGGACATACCAGACCTACTGAGAAAAAAACAATGATTTCATATATTAAAAAATGTTAATACTTTCTATGAATTTCATTTCATGGATCTTCTGAGGCTTTGCATCACTACTCTGACAGCTTTACTGGGGAAAGTTGCAATAACCTGTTCTTGAGGCTGCCCCATTTTTTTTCTTCAGCCTATTGCTCAGTTCAGTTGCTTCTTTGTTTCAGATAGATGCTTACTCTTCCACAGAGCCATCCACCCTTCCTCCTCACCTTTGATGTGTCTGTTTTGCCTTACCAACAGTAAGCTTTTGATATACACAATGTGCTCAAAAGCAGTAATATGCATGGAGGATGTGTTGCTCTCCTGTAGGTGGAGGGCTATAGTCTAATGACGATTGCTTCAAAGAGTGGTGCAAGGTATTAGCTGTCTGTTCTGTTGGGAGGTGAGTATCTATTTAAATACATTTTTGAGGTGGGGAAAATGTTAATATGATAAGAAATGAGTGAGATATTAGTAATTAAACAATACCATGTGTATTTTTGTATGTAAAAATGAACCTGTCATTTTAGAGTTGTGTGAAACTATGTTTCATATTTGAATTTTCATACACTTTTATTTATGTAACATGCACTTTCAAACCATAACATCTGTAAGGCATAACTACATAGTCAGGAAACTACTCTTCTTTTATAAGTTTTTTTTTTTCTTTCTACAAAATGTTTTTCTATGAAAAATAGAGGTCACTTTTTTCCTAAAGTATATTATTGAAAATAAAAAAAAAATTCATATGTCTGATAAATATTTTTTCCTCTGCTCACAATTAGTACGATCACCTAGAGTTTCCAGGGGTTGTTCCACGAACATTCTTGGGACCTATATTTGTGACGGTTTTATCAGCACCGTTCATAGTCATCAACAGTGTTTTTGGAGCAAGCAAATTTCTGTCACAGTATGTTGGTGAGTTCAGTCTCTTTCTAAATATATGTTATATGAATTTAGTAATTGGATATTACTCATGTTTTTAGGCTAGTAATCAGACCGAGCATTCTGACATTTATGAACTCTGAGTCTAACTAGTCATCTGAAAGTAGTTGGCATTTGCTTCAGTTTCAGTTCTGCATAGGAATTACATATCCTTTGATGTTGTAAGTTTATGATGGTACTTTATTATATGTACACATGAGAAAGTTTTGTTTATATCAAAAAATATATCATTTTTGAAGAGCATGATAGATATTTATATTAAGGAAAAAAAAGCAAATAATCCATAAATAGATGTTTGTTTGAAAAAAGAATTATAATTACTACACTATTTCAATACTGGAATGTTATATTCAAGTTTACTGATATCTTCCAGAAAGAATTCAAGTATCTGCAAAAATATATAGGTTCCAAAAATGTTATGCAGAGAGTTGCAATGAAATCAGATAGTAAAGGAAACACAAATATACAAAGTTACAAATAAAACAGACATCCTTATTCATACAGAAAGCATGAATATGCCTTTCACAGAACTGTTTAGTCTTTGTATTTACCGTATTATTTCTTACAGGTCAAGAGTAATGAAATGCCCCACTTGCAAATCAGACCTAGCTACTAGTGTGGTATCCCACTCTCTCACCACCACATTTCTTCTTTGTGCTATTTACAACAAATAATGCCTAAACAAAAAACTAAAGGCTTAAACATTCTTTTTCAGACATTTTTTTCCAACTGAGTCAGTGGTGATCAAAGGCACTTTATCTGTTTGTGGAGCTGATATTCAGTTGTAATCCCTTTATCTCACTTATTAGAGCAAATGTGTGACATGTCACAAGTCTAGATTTCAATTAGTGGAAAGGTATTATAAAATTTGTGGAATTACTAAATAACCACAATCTTGTAGGGCTGATATGAACCTTGGTATGACCCCATGTTCACTGTTGATGTTTTTCAAACATATTACTGTTATTGTGCTTTGGGGTTGGTTTCCTTCTGCCTTTTCTTCTCCAGTTCAGGCACTTTGTCATTCTGTTTCATTGTTTTTTGTGGAGCCTGTCTTGCTTGTAGATTATTTTGTCCAAACCTTTCACTTCTCTCCTTTGTTTCTGGCTCTTCTTTCCCTAACGAGGAACAGGTACTTCCTTTCCTGTTTGCTAAACTCATAACTTAGGTATGTGACTTTCTTTCACCTGTATATCATAATGACTCTTGTGTTGCTCTACTTCATGAACCTTCTTCGGTCCCAACTTGACATTGATCAATGTCTTCCTTGTCCTTCTCATCTTCTTTACTCTTTTACTATGGCCTAAGGTCATGATCCTTCTTGAACCTCAATCTCTTGTGTCCATTCTGTCTGCTTCTGGTGCACCTCTTTTTCTTTCTTTGTCTTTCTTTCCTGGAATCTGTTTGTCTTTTTCTTTCTTATCTTTTTTCCTCTGCTATATCTATAATCTTCACCTCCTCACTTTGATTTTTTGTTGCAACCCCAAATATTTTTGTTTGCTCTTTTGATTTCTATTTCCTCTATTAATCTGTTTTTGACTTGGTTTCTTTGTTCTCAGCACCTCCTCTGTCTGTATACTGTCTTTTCAGGTGTTCACCTCCCTTTTTGTTCTCTCCTTAATCTAAGTCTTGTCCTTTTTTCTAACTGCATCAATTGGATGTTCCCAATTCCTTGCATTCTTGGGCTAGGGTTGCTTGTCAACTATTTTCTTAAATTCCATGATTTCTCATCTCACTATACCACAGACACCTCTGTTGGTTACTCAACTCTGTAGTCCTGTAGAGCTACCCTCTCACCTGTTCCTCTTTCTATTGTTTATAACTCTGCAATAACTCTACTTTGGAACCAATTCTTGGTTCTAGAATCTATGGTACCCCACTGCACACCTATAGTCTTCTTTCACTGGCAACTCTTGGATTGTGCAAGTTCTTTCTTAAAGTCTGTCCCCATTTTTTGTACTCCACATTCTATTTATTACCCTCTTTGTCTTCACCTTCTTCACAGAAGGGACAGTTTTTAAAACCTTCACTCTGTCCAAGGTCTGGTCTCCAGAGAAGCAATCTCTCCTTTTCAACATTCTGGTCATGTCTGCAGTTTTTTTGGCTTATGATGAACCATTCCAACATTTCTACAGTTGTTTTTTACATCAACCACTAAAGAGAGGCACTCACTTTCAGTATCTATGCTTTACCTGGTTTTCTGATGAAAGCTTGTATGTTATTGAGCTGTATTATCCACACACACTTTGTTCTTTTCTTTTTCCAGTGTCATTTGATTCCTCCTGTTCTTTGCAACACAAAACCCATACCCAAGATTACTTTGTCTTCCTTCCTTTGCCTGATATTATGGTAGACTCATTTTCATTTACCTCACCAACTCTAGTCTCTTTCTTGTCATTATTTTGCGGGTATGTTATTTTCTTTCTCCAATGTCATTTTGAGTTATAAGATGTGATGGCCATTGTTCTGGTTTTCTTCTTCCCATCCTTCCACTTTGTGACCTCAGGGTTGTCTCTTCTCTATTACTGGTCTTGAACAACTGCACATCTGTACTCGCATGCCTCACCCTCTTTGCCTAACTGACTCTTTTGTCCTGGCTTACATCCATTCTTATTTTCCATTCCTGGGTTTCTAGTCATTGGATTCTTTTACCTGCTTGTGGGAGGGTGGACCCCTTGACTTCTATTTCACTTTCTAGTGTCCAGTTTTCACACTTTCATCTCCTTCTTACCACCCTCCTGTTTTAACTCTCATCACTTCATCTTATTTTGGAGGCACTACATTGTGCTCTGGAAGGGTTTTCTGGAGAAGTTCATTATCTTCTTTTCACCATTTTAGCCCATACTTCTTCTTCTCTATCCCTTCTTACTTAGTTCATCTGCTCTTGGGATTTGTTGGGTTGGGATGCTAATTTAATTAATGTTCTTCTACCTCACACTTATCTCTGTATTCTTTATCGGCCTCCTTTTCTTTACTCAGGGGTCTTTGGTGGTGTTCTTGACTCTCTGTAGACTGGGCCGAGGCAGCCTGTCATCATTCCTTGTTGTATACTTTGGTTTCTTGTCTTTCTTAACCTTATCCTTCTGTTCCTGTTTTTAGGCCTTGCTCAATCCATGTACCACCAGTACTCTTATTTTGTTTGTACACACCATGTTTTATGGTTTGAGGAACACTGTCCAAACCAATTAAGTTAATGTAAACAATTAATGGGACTGTTGACTAATTAGTTAGCAAAAACCACTAATTGCACAACACTAATGAATGTTAGACATGGGTCTATCATTGTGGAACTATTCTCAGGCACAGATATTGAAATGTTTTCCAACGTAATATCATTCAGGACTCATCCTTTTTTTTTCTTTTCATTCTTGAGGATATCTTACAAAATATTTCTACTGAAGTGATAGTATGTTTACATCTGTGTTGATCAATTGTTCTTTGGTGGTGTTCTTAACTCTCTGTAGACTGGGCTGAGACAGCCTGGCATCAGTCCTTGTTGTGTTCTTTGGTTTCTTGTCTTTTTTAACCTCGTCCTACAGTTCGTGTTCTTAGGCCTTGCTCAATCCATGTATCTCTTGCCTATTCCTGTTTCTTTGTCTTCTTCATTTTCTTCTAATCCTTCTACTTTGTGACATCAGGGTTCTCTTGTGTCTTGTTGATAACTACTATTAGGTCTGGCCCAGTGGGCATCCATCTGTTTCGCTTTGCCAGCCTTTGGTCTCCATTTTGGGCTGACAGATGGGTTTTCCAGGTTCTCACATATGTCTTATCTCTTCACTTCACTTCCCCCTCTTTTCCTGTTTCCTTTTCTCCTCTCTCTTCAACCCAGTTTATCTTCAGTGACTTGAGGATGCAGTCTCAGATCTCTTGGCCAAAAAGCCATTGAGAGAGTATTTACTCGTACTGTGGGATGTTACTTTTATTTCTTTGTGGTCCTCAAGAAGACTGGGAACTGGCATCCAGTTATAGACTTGTCATCTCTCAACTGGTTACTAGTCATCCCACAGTTTCAGATGGAGAGTTTCTTTTCTCTCCAATGGTCCTTTTACTCAGTCTGTGGATAACCAAAATCAATGTATTGGATGCTTTTTTTGCACATTCCACTTGTAATATCCCCCAGAAATTTTCTCTGTTTCATCCATCAGAATCAATTATTCCAGAGAAGGCAACTGGTTGCAAACTTTTCCTTTTATTTTGAACTACTGGTTACAGTAAAGGCAACTGGTTGGCAGCACCCACCACCAATATTTTCTTTTGTTTATACACACCATGTTTTATGGTTTGAGGAACACTATATAAGCCAAACAAGTGAATGTAACTAATTAATGGGACTGTTGACTAATCAGTTAACAAAAACCACTAATTGCAAAACACTAATGAATGGTAGACATGGGTCCATCAATGTGGAACTACTCTTGGGCACAGAAATTGAAATGTTTTCCAACATAATATCATTCATGGCTCATCCTTTTTTTTTTATCATTCTAAAGGTTATCTTACAAAATGTTTCTGATTCTACTGAAGTGATAGTAAGTTTACATCTGTGTTGATCAGTTGGTGACTTGTGAGATGGTTCTGGCCAACCCGTTAACCACCTGCAAAAAGTAAAAATTAATAAATAAACGATGGACCAAGAAATAAAGCTTATTTTAGTGCCTTTGACCTTGAGGTTTATTTGCTTAATGTTTGTTGCCCATTGTTGTACTTATTACTCTGACATTTAATACACCCAAACTTTTGGAAACAATAGTATTTGTTTTTTTTTTCATTGATAACTAACTAGTGCCCCTGAGACAGGCTTG